CCCAAAGCACTACTCAACAACTAGTCACAACTGGTATGTGCACACATAAACACAATCGGTTGCACAAGCGCATGCACACAGGCACGTATACACACATGGTATGCCCGGAAAACAACAACCTCACAACGACCCATGCTTATCTCAACAAACCCAGGCTTTCTCTCTTTGGCATTCGCTCACTCTCTCTCTCTCTTAAACATACAAACATACACACACTGACACACACACTACACACACAAGCCTATCTTTCATCCCAAAATTCATGGAGGCAAATCTCTCTCATCCTCTACCAACCATTCTCTCTCTTCAACTCTCGCAGGCACCGTTCCCTCTTCTGTCCCAGCATTGCCTCTAAAATCTCTCAGTTTTTCTGGCAAACATTGACCAATTCACTGTCATAGCACACTCTGCATCCTTTCTTTTCCCTGGCCTTGTCACAGTCCAGTGACTTTTTTTCCCCCTCTTGAAATAATCCAACTGCGGAAGCCCCAAACAAGTGTGACAATACTTTTCTCATTAGCCAAAGGCAGGCAAGTCTCAGTATGCATCGTGTGTCACAGGTTTGCAGGGTTAGAACATAGACATACAGTATGTGATGTGAAGGGACCCCAAATCATGTTAAATGAAGCCACATACTGACTTAATAACAACTTGGTTACACCATCATTATCTGCTCTGTGCCACTGGTTCATAATGGCATCATAATGCAATACATGAGGAAAACTAAAGCTGGTTCCCAAATAGTTTCTTTATTCTGTTCTGATATCTCTCTGCACAGCGCCAGGCTTAGTGAGGGTTACGGTCCAGAGCGCACAGAGCATAAGAGGCATGGCCTTTATTTCTGGGCCTCGACCCTCACAGGGATCAGACGATAGATTACAAGAGATTAGTGACATCATAAATCATCTATCAGAGCCCCCTTTGTACAACAGCAAGCTAGACATAAAGCCATTATAACATAGTATGAGACAATTGAAATGTTATGGTATGGTATATTTAGAGTGTATTCATTATTTAAAATCTCTGGTGCAATGTTATACATTTCACAGAAGAGAGTGAGTCATACGGCGGTCCTATCCTCTATCCTGCCTGTACCACAGTCTAATATTAGGCTATACTGATCCTCAGTGGTTAGATGAAGAACTACAACTACAGTCAAGCTGGGTTTTTCATGGAAAACATAAGGATCGTAGGTTATGTTTACAAGAAAAGCCTGGTTGAAACAATTGCTCAAAATTGTTAAGATACAAATGTATAAAATTTTTCAGTTTTAAAAAGTTGTCTCCTGCGCACTACTTGTAGACTTGGAAGTGTGATGTAAGTTTATAATAAAACAATGGGATAGCAACATTTCTACAAGTGACATTACTTTGTCATCTCATTTAGCAAAGACATTTATATCAAATATGCAGGTACATTAGCTTATGTTCCAGTTAGTAGTGAAAGACTTGAAATTTGAGCTGAAACAAGAATTAAATTTTATCCTTGAATTAATGTCAGTATAGTTACAATAATATTATATGAACATGATGGGAAGATACAGCAGAGCAAGTAAGGGAAGGAATATTTTTTAATTGGACAAGCAGACGCATGTGTATTTATCTAGTGAGGCTTATATTGTCTTAATATTGGTATTATTATTTGGACAAGTTAAATAAAATCAGTGTTATATACTGATTTAATGAAGTAAATAGTAAATAGTGCAAACTAATAAGGTGTTGCTGACATTTCAGCAGAAAAAACACTATTTTTTTATTTTTATTTAGGACATAGACCCAAAATACAATCCGACACCAACAGTGCACGGACTCTCCATATTTGCATGTTTGGGCAAATGCGGATGGAGATGGTGCAGTGATTGGGAGCCAGGAACAGTTAGGGGCATGATGCCTAACTCAAGGGCACCTCGGCAGGGCCCACGAGGAGACCTGGCACTTCTCCAGCTAACAACACACTCCAGACTTTGTTCCATGCTAGACTTCACCGGCGACCCTCCAATTCCCAAGCCAAGCCCCTACAGACTGAGCTACTGCCACCTCCAGGAAAGAGAGATGGCAAGTATAACAACAGCAAAACAATAAATGTGATACTCTGGAGAAAGGCCTCCAACGGGAGCTGGATGTCAATGAGGGGAGTTTCTAAAAGTAGATGTCCTAAAGGCGGAAAGAGAACTTGAAGACGATAACACAAGAGCTGGTAAAATGAGCTGGAGGAAATGTGGCTTATAAAGTATTAGTGCAAGGTAACAGAACGCAAAACATCAATTGGTCAAAACATGTAGTTTCATTTTTGCACCTTCAGCTGACCCGCAGGTGTAAACCTTTGACCTTCATTAAGGTTAATTACAAAAACTGAATCACACCTGCGTCTTTCTTGCTATTCAAAGTTTAGCTAACTGTTCAACATATTTTTATGTTTTAATTTTTATACATATGTTACTTTCTCTGGCATTATCTATAATATGTTTGCCCATAATACTGGTACAATGAGAACTTTTGCACTTCATACATCTGGAGTCGCAGAGCCAGTTTAGGGATTTCTTTGTTTCAAACGACCTAATTAGACGCCAACAACGCTAATTAAAACGTCGAGCAGGTTTGACAACACTCACCTCTGTTTTGAAGACATTTTTCTGGATTCCTAAAAGTCTCCTCTGTCCGTGTCTGGAACAACAACTCCTCTTTGGGCTACATCATTTTGAAAGAGATGAACCTGACAGCCGCATTGGCACCAGGGCCACCACTAGAGGGGGTTGTGAGGTGCCACATGTGGACAAACTGCTGTCAGCAAAAGGAAGTAAATATTGAATAATATTGCCCCACCAAATAAACAAGTAACATAAAATAATTTCAACTGTATTTGTATACGGTTGGGTTAATTTATAATACAACTAAATATTTTATAAGCTCTTCATATGTTTTGTCTGTAAAAATCTTAGTTTGTAAAGTAACTAGTAATTAAAGTTGTCAGATGAATGTAGAAGGGTAAAAAGTTTAATATTTCCCTCAGAAATGGCATAGATGTAAGAAAAAAAGTTAAGTACAAGTACCTCAAATTTGTACTTTAGTACAGTACTTGAGTAAATGTACTTAGTTACATTCCACCACTGGAAACACCTCTCAATATAATGCAATTCAGAACAACACCATCATTCTGTATGACCTCAGATATGAACACAGAGTTGAACACCTCTCTGGTCAACACAACTGAATATAAGTTTCACAAGGAGTAATAATGGCAGAGCTGTTGGAGCGTATTAGATTGTACAGGTGCAATTAAAGCTCAAACTAACAGATGAGTACATGAAAATTCATTTTTAAATTGACATGTTAGAGCTTTATAATGCTGCCTGTTATCTTAAACATCAATACAGATGAACATCATCTCTTAAGTACTATTTGTTTTACTTTTAAATCTGATATTTACTAAAACATTCCTCCATCAATATGATTAAATTGGTATTAAATGTCTCTGGCATCCATACAAATATCTGGATTAGACTCATACATCTGTGTGGTCCTGTAGATGCATGTTGATTGTTCACTGCACTTCAACTAAATTGTTGTACATTCTGCATTTTAGGAAGTAAACCAAATTATGGTCCACTGTAATGAGTCTACTGCCTCATCTCACTATGATGAAGAGACTCCAATCCATCTGTGCTTTCAAAAATCTGCGTTGAACTCTTACAGTAAATCCTCTGAGCGCTAATCCATGAGCAACTGGCACTGTGCAGAGTAGCCATCAAGAGAGCAAAAAAAAAAAGGGACAGGAGCAAAATAAGGACCATGTATGCCCAGAAATAAGCCCTAGGATGTTTAAAGTCCTATAGAGCAGCACCATGCATTGGCCTTAGCTGGGAAAAGTCTGGGTATTCTGGTAATGTGGTGAGAAATAATGAAGAGTAAACACATTTAACCCACAATGCACCGCTCCAAATGTGGAAAATTCACACTAGTTTGGTTTTTTTAACAAGCAAAAGGGGAAAAATCTTTATGTGCGTAGTAATGTTCAGTAACACAGCCATTAGCTACAGAAATGGTTAGGTTTAATGTCTGAAGAGGACAGGCTTCATAGTGTGATTTAGGTGTGACTAAAGCTAAAGCCCACACTGTGTTTATTGCTCATTTTGTGATGAGTTAAGGATGATATATTTTACTCAAATGTCCTTTATCTCTGCTGACTTCTGGTTGCAAGACAGTAAGATTTTTTAGTTTGCGGCACATTTCAGAGCTTAGGAAAGGAGACAAAGGCTACTTTCTCACTGCAATCTTTAGCATTCAATTCTGATTTCTTTGGCATTATTTTTTTAACGTGGTCCATACCAGATTCCAGTGAATGATGAATGATGAATGTCAGTCCTGATATGATGGAGGTCACAGTGCAAAAAGATCAGAGCTGTATCTGATTTGGACCCCATATGAAAGTGGCCCAAATCATAAAAGATCATACTTCATATGACATGAGAATATCAGATCACATATGAACAATCAGATTTGGCAGTGACTTCACTTTGGCCTGTAGTCTGAATGCGGCCAAACATTGTAATGTTTTATGTAAGAAGTTAGTTCATCAGTGAAACAATAATTGGTGTCTTATCTTATGTCCATGTAAACTGTGCACTTGTCTGTGTGACGCAAATACAGAACAACCACCATACAGCCAGAACTGGATAAGGTGGGAGAAGCGTCATATGATATTTTATCATGTGATTTGTTTTTCTCTTCATCTCTTGAGAAATGAGACTTTTTGATAAATCCTTGGTGTAGACAGAACATACATTTACACGTGGAAGCACGTATTCAGTGCATACTATGCAGTATATTCAGACTGTTTCTTCATCTTTCTTTCTTTCTCTTTTTTTCCCCTCTCCACAGGCCGTTATATTCTCATGAAGTGTTACATAACCTCCTGGCAGCAAAGCAGTGCGCCTCATGAAGCCGAGCAGTTTTGGCTGCGTCTTTAACGCAGGTGACACTGACAAGCAGGACGACGCGCAAAAGACATTAGACGGAGATTATTATCCGGCTTAAAATCTTACACCCCACCTGATTTGATAGCATTCAACCCCCCCTTTTTTTTCTTCCTTCAACATATTTAAGATCGCTCCGATATTTCGTCAGTTCAGCGGACGTTGACGCAGCGTTACCCAGAAGGTGTTTGCACAGATAGACAACGCGCATAACGAGCGCTGCATCTGCGTCTACCGTCTGCGCCCCTCCCTCTCTGACTCCCAGCATCACCGGCAGCCCGGTAATGCTGTCATAAACCGGAGAATAAAATTCCCGTTTAACGATCCTGAAGAAGAGCCGTCGTATTTTCTGAACGGTTATTATGGTGGGCTGCATTCATTTGTAAGCACAGGGCCTATATTGTGTTATTGGACGCGACCCCATTCAGAGACATAACACAACCTGCTTCCTTTACGCTGTTGCTATTTATACATATATATACGTGGGCATCACATGTTGTGCATCCTCGATCGGATGTGAGTAATCTATTTCTTTTTTTTCTTCTTCCCCACTCGGGAGTCTTTTCGAGGCTTTCCAAGGGCATCGGCGAGCGACACAGTGCGGCAGCGATGTGCACGTCTGACGGCTTCACGGAGCAAGTGGGAGGGAACCTGTTTCTGCCACTGTAGTGCATTGAGTTTTTCTGAGTTGTCGTCCATATCCAGGGTTCAAGCACTCCGCCGTAGAGCTCCTTCACTCGGTCCACCGCCTGGCTTTTTTAGGATGCGACGTCATGAGTTGATCGCGCCTGGCAGATGTTGCTGTGTTGCAGTTGCGCGGGCATAGATTCACCGCTGGTTCCCGCCGCTCCGGGGATGCTTCTGTAAAAAACAAAGCAAAAAAAACACGGTTTATGTGATCAATGTTAAGTCCTCGCTTTGTGCTCGGGCAGATCGCGACATTCATTTAGTCTTTCGGGATTTCATAAAATGATACCTGGATCTGCCGCATCAATGCTACCGTCTGCAGAAGCTGCGAAATTGTACCAGACCAACTACGTCCGTAACTCCCGTGTCATCGGACTCTTATGGGCCATCTTCACTATCCTGTTCGGTATTGTTAACGTGACCATCTTCTCACAGCCCTATTGGATTGGGGATGGCGTGGATACGCCGCAGGCCGGCTACTTCGGCCTCTTTCACTTTTGCGTCGGAGACGGACTCTCCAGAGAGCTGGCCTGCCAGGGTACCTTCACCGAGTTCTCCGCTATCCCCTCCACTGCGTTCAAGGCCGCCTCCTTCCTCATTGGAATGTCCATGATGCTGGTTGTCACCTGCATCGGCTGCTTCAGTCTCTTCTTCCTCCTCAGCACCTCCACCGTGTACAAGATCTGTGGCTGGATGCAAGCAGCATCAGGTAAGTGCCTTATAGTTCCTCCTAAAGTGGGCTGCAGGGGCTTAAGGGACCTTGAAAGGGGGCTTATAGAGGATGGTTTATTGTTACTGTATTCACAAAATGTAGGGAGAGCATGTATATATAATATATATGGCAGCTTTCTTCTGTTGTCATACATTAAAGTAGCAGGCTATGGGCTATAAATATTGTCTAAAAGAAAAAGATGTTGGATCTTATCAAATGAGTGTCTCTAGGGTCTCATTTCTATCTGTTTAGGGTCCTCGGCATGAAACCCTGAAACTCCTAAAGAGTGTGCTGGATTTGAATTTGATTGATCAGTTGATTAGATAAATGAATTGTCAGTGGGAGCAGCCTAAAGTGAAGATAAGCAGACAGTGTGCAGTATCTCTCCTGTAGCTGTCAGCCAACACTGCTGGGCAGTCAGTGCTGTCCATGGTGCTGAAGTGCTGCTGAGGAAATGATGGACATTACTACTTCATTTACAGTCAATCACTTACTTTTTTAACTGTAGAAGATACAGGTGTTGTCACATAATAATTTCTATATATGTAAAGTAAATAATAAAATAAAATGTATAAACAAACCATCAGCTACTGAAGACACGAATACATTTGTTTTAGTTCCTTCTTTCTGTTTAAATGTGCGTCAGAAAACATGTCAATCAATTTGGGAGTGATAGTAGGTTCCAATTATGGATGCACGGATCCGATATGATCCGATCGTTACTGGCCCGATACTGATCCCTAATAAGCAGATCAGTTATCCGCCGTGAAGGGACCAATCCAATATCAATGTCATTATATGATCCAAGTATAAATGACCCCAGTGACTTCCACACAATGAGTTATACAGATCAGAATAACATTTTAAAAAAAGAGAACACTATTTTGCATTGGTGCTCAGTATGGACAGATGAACTAAGGTAGGTGGCTCACTATCAAGAATGAAACAGTTGGACGGGGTTGTCTTTGTAGCCTACGTGGCAGAGATGGTGCCCAGCTGGTACCAAGGCTGAGTCCTTGCTGCAGTGGACATGGGTTTAAGTCTGACCTGTGGCCCTTTGCCGCATGTCATCCCCTTTCTCTCCCTCTTTCCTGTCTATTTTGAGCTGTCCTATCGATTAAAGACAAAAAGCCCCCCTAATATTTAAAAAATATGGGTTGGATGGGTGTATTTCTTTCGGTAGGTAGGGCCTCTTTTGCTTACATTAGGAACCTGTATTGTGCCTTTAAATTAAACCAGTCTTTGTACATAACAATGTAGAGACATTGGTAGCTTGATGTTAATTTATCACCATGCAGCTTTGTTGTTTTCATAACCCTTTATCCAGATACATCACGCATATCTCTTTTTATTATTGGTCTATAATAATGGCCTTGTGTGATTCGATGCACTGCAGGAACATTATGTTGGAGTTACCTTTATATTAATATAAAATTTTCAAGATTCCTGATAATGCTGGTATTATTGCACTGAATAGGTAAAGCAACAATGCAACCAAATATAATGTGAACTATCTGTATGATCTGCAGCCAGTAGGTGTGTGTGGTAGAGTTAGGGGTGTTGAGGGTAAATGTTGTGGAGGTCAGTGGTTCAGCTGCTGGCAGCATTTTGTCACTGTAACTGTGGGCTAATGTCATCCAGTGTGAGCGGAGGCCTCCATCATCTGAAAGGAGTCCAAGCGGTGCCAAACACGGGTCTGCTCAGCTGTACCAGTGGTTGAAGCAGCCGGCTTCCTGTTCGCAAACAAACACAAATGAGGGGGATTATTTGGACCAACTCCAGCTCAGTGTGGCTGAATTTATGCAATGGGCCTGTCTAATGAGGAGACCGTTGGGCTCTGTGCTCCTGCATCTAAGAGATAAAAGAGAAAGCCAAGAGGAGAGACCCTGACCATGGCAAGCTGGCACAGGGATGCCTAATGAGCAATCCTGGCTGCTTAGCACTGTCAAACTTCATTACACTTAGCTGAAGGTTAAACTCACGCTGCATTCACTTACTAGCCCTGTGGAGGACAGGTGGCCCACTGGCATCCGTAATGGGGCCTCTTACTGTCAGCTGGTGTTTGGATAGGGAGGTACAAATCATCAATATAATAGTGATAAATGACAAGCCAGAAAGTGTGTGTTTGTGTGTGTGCAAGTGAAAGAGAGAAGGAAGAAATAAACTGTTGTCTTCTTGAAACCTTTTGGCTGTGCAAATGTATGTCACATCTCATGCCAATAAAGTAAAATGACATTGAAATTGACACAGTGGGTCAGCCTTAGTTTGTTGTCACCCATCCTTGCTGCTAGACTGGTCTAACGACACAGTCACTAATCAGAGCACCGCTTTCTGCATTGTGCAATCAATATTTCTCTCTTCTTCCAATCATCATTAGAGGTCTTTTTTGTTTTCTCATTGTAAGGCTACACTTTTTAGCTTTTGGCAAATTTATATGACATTATAAAAATAGCATATAACACTACCATTCATCATTGAGTAATACAGCTATTCAGATACACTTAACTTAATATCAAGGTCATACTGTATATGTTGGTCATATATATATTATTAAGTGATCTGCTGTATGTCACTCTTAAAACCGCTTTCACAAACCCCCCTTGGGCAGAGGTCAAAAGGTTGTGGATAAACACTTAACAACATATAACAAATTCACGCCGTTGCACAGAGCTCCTCTTCAGTGGATCAGTGAACGAAAGCACACACACATCTCGAGCCATCTCCAGGAAGAGTGTTTTCTGTGAAAGCCCAGGTAAAAAGGCTGAATGCTTGATGAGAAAGCAAACCACCAGGACACATTAGATCTCTCAAAATGTCTACCTCAGCCAAACAAAGTTGAGTGCGTCCATCCTGCCCTAGATGGACTTGTATCCTTCTTTTACTTTCCTCACCCGAGCTATTTCTGTCAGTGCATCTGCTCAAGTCCAACGGCATGCAGATGTAAGGGTGTGTTTTTTTCCGCTGAGCTGAGCACAGCACAGCAAGGTATGCACAAGCTCCTTTACCTTATCTCTTTCTGCTACCTTCCCACAATTTCACCCTCCTGTGCATCTCATCTGGTTTCACTTGCTCATTTTTGACCTCACCTTATCTTCAGTTCCTCTCTCTTTTCATATCTTTTCATGTCTTTAACTCCTCTGTCCTCTTTCTCCCTTTTTTCTCTTCATAAACTTGTTCCAGTGAGTACAATATGTGCTGTCCTGTTTTTTTTTTTGTCCCGTAACTACAGTTCTTCAGGGGTCTGCACGCCAATTAAATGAGAAGACTGTGAGGTCAGTGATAATTACTTCACCGTTTTACACCCTGACTGCTTACTCTGTTATGTCGGCTGCCAGCTTTTTTCTACATTTCATGAGATTGTTTCTTCTCAAAAACATATGACTCATATGCTCACAGTCGTAAGCTGTGTAAAGTCAGCAAAACAAATGTGCAGACTAAGGGTGGCCTATTTGGAAAGATACAAACTGGACTGTTTTCAAAGGACTGCATTTACTCAGAGGTCAGATTTCTATTTTTACCTATTTTTGTTTATTTTATTATGTGGGCTCTTCTGTCAGTGTCAGCCCGGTGGTTGTTTTTTCCTGAAATAATTAAGAAAGAAAATATTTGCTTTAGAAATGTACAGAAGCAAAATGACAAAATTACATTGAGAAATATCTTCTGCCTCCTCTTTGAAGTCTTTGGTAGTTAATACTTTGGAATGACTTTACAGATTGTGCACAAGCCTGTGCTTTCTATAGCAGTTGCTTGGCTTCCTATGATGATGAGTTGAAGTAAATTTAAACATATGAATGATTTGTGTAATGAGTTACTCTAGGCAAGTCTATTTCTGATGGCTGTTTGATCCAAAACTGACTGTAGTTGTTCATGCTGTTGTAAAATAGACACACTAATTTCTTTCAGGGTGTGAAGGCTTCAGGCTTAATTTCATTATACTATCATATATGTAAAATTCATTAGGTTGGAATGCTTCACATTGAGATGATAATTTTTTTCTCACAGGAGATGTCGACATGTCGCAGCAGGAAAAGCACAGGCGTAAATAATTGAATTAATGATGGCTGAATTCTATTTAGCTGCTTCGGTTTTAGGGTCCTGGTATTGTGCATGCTGGCTCACTGTCATGCTGTCATGGCTTACTGGAACTCTTGAATAAAACAGATTAATCTTTCGTGTTATTCGTAACACCTGTGCTTTTCCTGCTGTGACGAGCCAAAATGTCTGCTGTGAAGAAGGATTATTAAACTCATGTTAGTGCCCTTTCTTATCTTGGTGCAATTTGAAGGCATGTTAACCAGTGACATTAGCACAGTTTAGCTCAGTTCCTTAATGACCCTGGATTAAATAACAGCTACTCCTGTTGCTTACTTTGTATTTTGAGCCAACGGTTTTCAACATACATACCTTCACACTACATAGGCATATAAAGGAATTTGGGGGCTGTCCGTCTGTTTGAAAGTAAAGAAAAAGTACAATTCTACTATATTACTTTAATTGCATGTTTATGAAATAATATTAATAGATAGATAATTGAATATATGTACGAGTGTGTGTACCAGGATGTTGTTGCACCAAATAGAGCCTTCAAGGAATCAGTTAAAATCTACTTTAGATAAATACGGATAAAGATCAAGAGGGATCAATACATCAAAACTGTAAATCTGTATTGCCTGACAGTGGCTAGAAATGACAGAGGGAAGATCAAAGGGAAACAGACTACAATAAAGAGAAACAAAAACTGAGAGACAACAAATGAGAGAGTAGCATGAGAAGACAGACAGAAAGACAGAGAGAAGGCAGAGAGAAAACAAATCAGATAACAGTGCTCAGTGAACACATACCGGTACTTTGGGTCTCTTTCTTTCTCTCTGTGTATTATTATCTGTCTATCTGTGTGACGGGCTCTCACTCCCAGGTCCATTAGCTCTATTGAGAGGCTTGTTCTAAAAGTGTAGTTGAATGCAGAGGTGGAAAGTGGTGGAGTTCGGCATGAGAGC